CTAGCTTATTTTATAAATGCTAAATTTAGTCTGCTCGGTTTCCGTCATCAAGGACAGCTTTTTTGGTATGCTTTCTTACAAAATATTTGACCTTGGGAGATTGCTGCCAGAAAGGAAGACACTTTAATATCTGACAGCTGATTGTTGGAGGTTTGTAAACTCTGTTGTGTGGGAGCAATAAAAGTCCACAAAGGTAGAAGGATTCACTTTAGCTTAGCAGTCTGTGAAGCTGATGAACTTCAGGGTGTGAGGATGAGTTGCTGAAAACAAAATGTTCTTTGCTTTTTGTCTGGTTTAAACCGTAGCTGGATGGAAACTATGAGCTCTTCATGGCATGGTTATGAATGGGAGACAGTGCTGGTACACAGAGGAGATTGCCATGAGTAGAATAAGAGAATTGAAGGGGGCTATTGCAAAATTTCCTCACAAGTTAAGAGGAGGTAGAGTTCACGGGGCTGGAAAGAAGATGAGGAGGAGCTGTGCAGGAAAGGGTGTCCATCCAGCAGATGGGATGTTATCAGCCACAACTTCCCATGCTTAGCTCAGGGCATTATGGCTTGTTGCGAGGTTGACTGGTTGTTTTTCCATAATGACCTGGGAGTAAGGCAGTAAGGAATGCTTTTTTACTCAGCCAAAAAAAGCTTTGTGAATAGGGAAATCACGTGTTATGTTCTTGGCGGTGTTTATTAATGACAAGCTAATGAAACAGAGCACTGCAGAGAATACTGGTGTACAGCTTTAAAAGGGCAGGCACAAAAAGCGTGAGCCAAGAGCATTGATCAATAGAGGCTGCAGCTTTATTAAAAAGCCTTTTTTAGCAGGGAGCCATCCTAACCTGCCTTCCAGTTCTGTCTCAAACTGGATTTGAGTGGATAGTGAATAGCATAAGGATGCAACAGCAATGTTGCAGAGAGGGGCATTGCTGAGATTTGCTTCTGAGTCCTAGCTGGTGCCAGGGCTGAAGCTGTCCCTCTCCTTTGTACCAGCAGGCAGGAGCAGTGACATGAGGGAAGCCACGTGGAGCTCTACCCCTTCATGTTGCATTTCCATGGTCTGGGAACCAAGGCAACCAAGGCAGCCCACTCAGTTTCAGGGACCTCAGGCTGAACCCTTTCTAACCTACCAATTGCTCTGGAAGCTGCCAAACTGTCAACAACAGAGTTTAGGCTCCTAAAACCAAAATGAAGGTCACTAAACCAACACAGACACTTCTGGCAGCCAGGCACAAAAAACCTGCTTCAGACGCCCAAACTAGCAATTAGCTGAGCCCACACCACCACAAGAAGCTCAGTTCACTAGATGAGGATGGAAAAACAGGACTAGAGAGACAGGAGAAATAAACACACAACTATTTGTTTCTCGTCCAGTTGACTTTATGAGCTGACAGAAAGCCTGACGGTATACCTCTGAATATCCCAGCCATAGCTTTATTATCTTCTCAATTAGAAAGGATGTAGTTCCATTAAATAAAACTAACAACAACACTCATTGTCTAGGGAAATGAACAGTTAATTCTCAGTTAATAACATTAGTGGGAGATGCTAAGAAATAGTGTGCTGAGAATTCAGCCATCCCTTTCAGCTTCATTGCTACACTTAATCCTGTAGTTCTTAATTCTGGAATAGTCACCATTAGGAAAAGTTTACTTATACCATCCATTTTCAGAAAATAATGATAAATTTAACATTCAAAGTTTTGAATCACATACTGATTAAATAGAATTTTGGCAACTTAGATAACATTTGAGATCATGGACAAACATCTATACTGGTTGTAGGTCACTGTAAGAGACCGTGAGTTGTTGGGGTAGATTTTTGTTCACCACCAGCAGAAGAAAATGAAGCACTTGCTAATAATTTTTGTCTTAAATGTGAGATGTACAACTGCATTACCAAAGTTCACAGAGACTGCATGGCCCCTCCAGCAGCTCTGGTCAAGAAGAGAGTACCTACGGAAAAGTAGATGCAATGCAAGGAATGTACAGGCAAAAGTAAATGTAGAAGAGCTCTTAAAAGAGAATGTGATTTGTATGGTAGTCTGAAGTTACATGATACTTTTTTTTTTTTTTTTTAATTCTCAAAAGACTTAAGTGTAAATTCTGCGTAAAACAAAGGCCTGGTTTTAGCTCAGTCTAGAAAAATCTGTAAGCTAATAATGACCTGTGCTTTGTTGCAAAGACCATTAGTTCTATCCACAGAACAAATCCTTTTTGTGCCATCAGCTACATAAGGGTTTGGGGTTCTTCTTTACTCTTCCTGTGAGGGACCTAGTTCTGCTTGCTGCAAAGGCCAGAGGGACTTTTGGTGATAGACTGCTTTTGAGATCCATGTGGATTCTTTGTGTCCAGTCTCGGAAGTATCTTGGAAATCAGAAGACTACTACTAGCAGTGTGACATACATACACTGGGTACATCAAATCCCCGGTTCCCTCAGAGCAGTTTAGGATGCTCTGAAGAGCAAGGAGGGACCACAACAGCAGCTAATCCATCCTTCAGGTCACAGAATAACATTATGCTGCTGAGGCAGGTGGCATTGGGTCATCCTGGAATCTGCCTCTGGCACCCAGGGGAAACCTGGAAGTACAGCAACATGTAGGATTTCCTCCATGGTGGATTTATCTGCCCTGTGCATGGAGCTGGCAGTTCATACTGCTTCTGGATGACACTGGTGCAGCCATGTGCACAAGGGGATCCCTCATCTCCCTTGCACGCAAGTTATCCCCCTTCTCTTGAACATTTAAGAAGGAAGATGTTGCCTTTGGCCTTATGAAGATTTGGGTGTAGCCTGTGCCGGGTGTCCCTCTCTGCCTTGCCTTTCCTCTGTCACCAGTCTGTTTAGTTAAGCAGAACTAGTCTCCCCAGTTGCATGTATACGAGACTTGTCAAGACTTGACAAATGAACTACTCGTGCCATGTGTGTTTATGGTTTTGACTTCATGAGGACACAATGGGGATCTCATGGATAATAGTCCAAGCAAGGTGGTTTCAGAAGAAGTTAAGAGAAATCATTACTTGGCAATTACAGGCGGGTTTGCCTTTTTGAGGGGGAAGTTTTCGTAACTTATGCACTTTAAAAAGTAACCTAGTCTTCACTCTGTGTTCTTTCTTAGCAGAACTTCCCATTGTCTTTACAAAATGAGATTTTTTGCTTTTGTTATTTGTATTACAACAGAACAGCAGGATCCAGGATCCAGGTGAATCCTTTCTTTAGATAGTGGTCTCTTTATTTTGTATTGATTTGTGTGTAAATAGTGGAAGAGACTCACTGTTCCAGAGGTCTTTGTGCTTTCAAATAGGGGGAAATGTTAGATTCAAGAACCAGACTAAATCAGCTAGATCTGCTAGAACATATCTTTCAGCATGCCAGAGATAATATCCACTTAGGCTGTCATTATTGGAGTTTTTAATATTAATGTTTCTATTTTCATTTTGCAATAGAACTCCATTCTGTGTTGAAATTTGACTCTGACACAAAACAAGGAGTGTTTTCCATCAAAATATTTAACATGCTTGATTATAAAAATCACCAAATGAATTCATAGCTTGCTTGATTGTTATTTTATTTAGAGTAGATGTTAAAATATTTCTAGCTTAAATATTTCTGACAATATTTTTAGATGCTTAATAACTATTGTAATCTGAAGTTCAAGATAATACATTTAGAGGTGCTTAGGTACTGTAAAAAGATTGCTTGTTAGATCTGTATATGGAATAATTGCTTTGGGTCAAGTGAGATTTGAAGTAGCATGGCAAATGTTTTATATTGAGGTTGGTTTTCTGTACTGCTGCCATAACAGTGTGTGTGTGCCTGTTTGTAGAGAAGCTCTGCTGCAGTGCAGTGTTGTGGAGGTACTTAGCTGAGGAGCTGAGTGCTGTGCTTTGTCTTACTACCAGATTATCAAAGGGCATTTCCATCCTTGCTCTGCCTGTTGAAAATTATTTGAAAAAACATTTTTAAAGGCTAGTTAATAATGATGTACTGTCAAAATGAAAAGATATATCAAATGAGCTTCTCCAGGGAATCTTTGGCCTAGCATTATTCAAAAACTCTATTAACCTCTTAGATGATGGGAATAAGGAAAACTTTAAAGAAATGGCATCTGTCTAGAATAAATTTAGTCAACCCAGCTTTGAAAAACTTGGTCTAAAGCATAAAATTATTTTGTCAAGTCAGGAAAATTGTTCTTAATTGGTATGAAAAAATAAAAACAAGCAGCAAGGGGGAAAGTTATCTAATGGACTAGTTCAGAATAGCGAATTGCTGTAACCATTGCTGCTTGTATGTAACAGGGCAACCATACAAATGTCAGGCTCTAGACATACCTGTAAGGTCATTGCCAGTAACCATGCAAAACGCAGAAGTCAAAGATTGAACTGAAGGACTGTGAGTAGTGTAAGGCCTTCTGAAAAGTGGCATGGACAAACCTATAAAGATTGCTGTAAAGAGTAAACAGGGGTACTAAGGCTTGTTCTTTTAAAGTTGACATATGAAGAAAGAAGAAGCCAGGTTTGTCTGGCTAGAGGAAAGTAGACAAATAGGGGGAAATTACAGTCTTTGAGCATGAAGAAGGTTGTTTGAGAATTGGCAGTAACTACTTCTGCTTTATGTCTGTGTGTAGATGACACGAGAGTAACAGGCAGTAGTTTAAAGTTAGATGTTGGGGGGAAAAAAATTCTGTCAATATAAATAATTGTTAGCCGTGAAGATACAAAAAATGTGTCACTGATGATTTTGTGTAGTGCAAAGAAAGAGGGTGATTTTGTATAGTAAATCCTGACACCTTCTAAGAAATGGGAGTAGAACTGTTTTTTTTTAATATTCTGTTCAAACTGATCATGTCTGTGCTTTTTAGCATGATTTGTACTTTAAAATTATGAGCTGACACAAGAAAAGGAAAGAAGTCCTGTGGCTTTCATGACCAAATTGTGTGCTATGCATTAGCAATTGTGTGTCATCTCTAGCCACATATATAACTATGTCCCTTTGTACTTCCTCAACAGTCTCCAAACGTCCACAACTACCCAGATATGGATGCTGTACCCTTGTTACTAAACAACATGAAGGCTGACCCCACGGAGGATTCATTATCTACAGACCACTTCCAGACACAGACTGAACCAGTGGACTTATCAATAAACAAAGCCAGGTCGTCCCCTACAGCAGCTTCATCTTCACCAGTTTCCATGACAGCATCAGCCTCCTCCCCTTCTTCTACTTCTACTTCTTCTTCTAGTCGGCCAGCTTCATCACCTACCGTAATAACATCAGTGTCCTCAGCGGCATCTGTACCGTCAGTATTAACTCCAGGTCCTCTTGTGGCCTCTGCATCTGGTGTTGGAGGCCAGCAGTTTTTGCACATTATCCATCCAGTACCACCTTCAAGTCCCATGAACTTGCAGTCCAACAAAATGAGTCACGTGCACCGTATCCCTGTGGTGGTACAGTCGGTACCTGTTGTCTATACAGCTGTGAGATCACCTGGGAATATGAACAACACTATAGTAGTACCACTGTTGGAGGATGGGAGAAGCCATGTCAAAGGTAAGGTGCAGCCAGTTTTGTGCATCTGTGGCATCTCTGAGACTGCTCTTATATGAGAAAAATATAACAGTATTATAAAGCTGTTTGTTTCCATACTGTGTTGTTTTCTGAGAAGACGCATAACTTACACTGTAGGGAGGAACCTTTACAAGTGTTAACCAAGATGCTCTTTAGAATAAATAAATATTTAAATCAAGACTGAAGTCAGCAGTGGTGGTAGATGCACAGACAACTTGTGGCAGGTTTTGTCCTGAGTGAAATAAATCCTCCCCAGAAACTGAAGAAGTAGGGCAGTGGAAAAGTGTCAATATGTAAAACATCACAGATGAATGTGGAAAACTCAACAGGTGTTTCAGGTTTAGCAAGGGGAGGAATGTCAGAGAGATTGTTCCCCAGCAAGAAGAAAGCAATCATTGGTCTGTAGGAATGTGTGAAAGAAAGGGTTTTATTAAGCTCAAGGAGTGGCAGTGCAATGCTTTGAATCAGGTTTCTTCTTCCAGATTAAACAACAGAAAGGGAAGGAAGCCACACAGAGGGTGTATGTTGGGAATGAGTTTTGCAGACACAGGACTTGAGACACATGTGGAGGTGTGAAGGGAGGAAGAAGGCACATGCCAGAAGGATGGATACACTCTTGAGGTGTCAAAAGAACACAGGAAGGGGAGTTGGAAAGCAAGTAAAAGTGAGAACGTAATAGTTACTGAGGGAGCAAAAACTTGTTAGAGATGGTGAGATGATGGGTGGAGAAAGAAAAGAGAGAACAGATGTGCCCAGATACCTTGAAAAGCACAGCTTTATAAAGGCGGCATTAGTGACAGAGATGGGAATATGAAAAAAGGAATGAGAGACACTAATTTCAAGGCTCACTGCATGAGTGAATAAAATACGGTAATTCTCCCCCGAAATGAGGTATTGCTTGAGGCGGAAAGGGAGGGTATTGACATATAACCTTACTTTAAGGCTTATGAGACTGCAGGACATGTAGTAATGTATCTTATAACATCTCTTCCATACCTAATTTCATAATGAACTGGTCTCTACAAGGTTTTTCCTCACCTTCCATGTCAGTTTATCAAAAACTGGCAGCTGTGTATTATTGCACAGGACTACAGTGATGGGTCATTCTGATGTTTAGTGGCATCTTGTTGTCTATTAGCCTCTGATTCTTGTACTGCTCCCTCAGTACCCAGGTGTGGACTGAACCCTCCCAATGGGCTTGGACATAGGAAATGGAGTCATTGTTGATCTGAATTTAATTTTAAGCCTCAAAATGATGGGTTTTTTATTACACTTCATACTCCGATGATTAGCGCTTTGTGCCGCCATGTCAAGAAATTATGAATAAAAGGAGCACATTGTCTAAGGAAAAAAAAAAGGCAGAAAGGAAAATTTTTGTCTGTATTTTGATTTTGGAACCTCAAGCTGCACCTGACCTTAGGCTCATCCAGAAATTTTTCTGTTTATTTTCTTTTCAGAGGTGCTAGTTGGCTCCGGTAGTAGTCTCCTTTATAGGAAACACTTCCTCATCTCATAAAACTGGAACTTCGCTACCCCAGTTTCATCAACAAAATTCCAGAACTTGGTGTGCTGTAGGGATTTCAGCCCGTGAACTCCATGCCATCTGAGCTGCCCTGACAATATGGCCTTTGTGCTATTATTGGCAGGGGTCATTAACCAACCTTGCAACACCTGTTAATGAACACTTAAAAGAAAAAAGGGAGTAACAGTTCTTGAATTTATTAATTTTTTTTTGCACCAGTTGTACCCATTTTGGTGTAAACAGTCGAAGAGTCATGGGAGGCAGTCCACTCTAGGTATGAGTTTTCCTGGAGTGTGTTTCTAATTCTTTAATGAAAAACAATACAAGTAATAATATGCAATGATATCTCACAAATTAACCAATTAAATAAATTTCATATGTGTGCAGACGAAATTTCCTTCAACGGTCAGCTCTTGTGCTGAAAACAAGAAATAAATTTACAGATCCTAATAGGACACTGCTGTCAAATTTAATTAGTTGATGGACAAATGCAGGTTTGGAGTCAACTAGAGTAACAGCTTCCAACTTTTACATGAACGTTGATAATTTTCAGAAACAAAAAAATGCACACACTGAAGCAGTTGATTCACAGACAGCATTGGCAGCATAGTCTCTGTGTTGTTGCAGCTTTGGTGCTAATTCAGAGACTCTTTTGACAATCCAGGAGTGTCAGTTCGGAAGCATTTCAAGTTAGATTTATGTTAGTCTCTGTCTAATTACTTTTTACGCAGTTGAGACTTAGGCACTTTCCCGAACAGAAATTTTTTAATGCTAAAATTAGTGAAAATTGCATCAGATTCAAGTTAAGACCTCTCCTTTTTTCCTAGGTTTCAGGTACTGAGGGGGAAAAATGGAAGAAATGGGATACAGAGAAAATTTTTTTCCTTGTTTTTCCCAATTTTGTTTTTATCATGATGAATTTTCCTCTTCTTTCCTCATTTGACTAGAACCATTTAAGTTTTAATTTTATTGTAAAACCTTCTCAGGCTGCCACTATCCCTCTAATCCTGCCTCCAGGTGTTTTGCTCAGGTGGCTTTCTGCTTCCCCTGATACTTCCCAGTCCTCCTTTCTCTCTCACTCTCTCAGACGGAACTGTCTTCCTGGTGTCTGCTTTTTTCGGCAGTTCAAGCAAATACTTAATTTCTTCATGTTCTGTTTGAATTCTCTCTTCCCTCCAGCACAAGAAATTGCTACCTTGTCTTCTCTTTCTCCTTCTTTTTCTATTTTTCTACTTTTTTCCAATCCTCCCCATCTTGCTGACTGCTCTTTGAGTACAACTTTTAGCAGCTCTGCTTCATCTTCCCCTCCTTTTTTGTTAATATTTCTAACCTATATTGTCATCTCCTCCTCAGCTGCTGTGCATGCTTTTCCATGGTGTCATTCATCCTGGCATTCTTTGTCTCACCGTCCTTCAGGAGAGTCCTTTTGTGCCTCCCAGTTTGCTGCTCATTTCTGCTGTCTGTCCTGCCTCCTCTCTCCCATTTTCTTTACTTGCAAGGTTTTGCGTGGTTTTGAAGATAAATAGCGCTTGTATACACAAACTGTATGTGTATCCAGCACATCCCATGCCACATGCTACACCTCAAGGCAGGCAACAGGAGACTATGGTCTCCAACAGGGCTATGATGCTGCAACAGCATCCTTATGCCAGAGTGATGCTTTTTGTGGGATAAAAACCTAGTCTAAATCAAAACCAAGATGGAAGCATTTTTAGGAAGTTATTAACACCCAATTAGAAGGTAATTAGTGGACGAAATATTCGGCATCAGTAGTACAACACCAGCCATTTACAAAATCTTACTTAAGTCCTGTAAGTTCCTAACACCATTTAATCCCCCAGCACTCACATATATGCACACACACGCACACACACACTCCTCTGCTGACTCTCTACTTTCCCTCCCCGATGCAGGAGGTCCACAGAGCGAGGGATCTCTCTGTTGCTCCACCAGCACCAGCCCAGCTGTGAAAGTTGTACCCTACAGCCTACAGCTCTAGTTATTTCATGTGCACAAGGCGTATTGATGTGTTAGGGCTGTCAGGCACAGAGGGGAAGGGAGCGTGGCACAAATCCTTGTAGTCATGGTGAGTCCAGGCGGTACCTTCTGCCAGCCCTACAACATGGCAAAGAGACAAAGTTCACTTCCTTCCATCGTCCCTGCTCTTGTCAAGCACAGCCTTAAAAAGTGCTTTGAGATTTTTTTTATTGTGTAGATTAGGTGGTGGTGACAGGACATTATTGTATGTTAACATATTCTATAAAAGAGCATTGAAGTCCCATGAAAAACTCTTTCCTTGCCTTTTTTTCTCCCTATCCAGCAGTAGTGAGGATTGATAAAAGGTAATTGGAGGCAAAGCAGGTAGCAGCACCTATAGATAAAATTGCCTGACCATTTCCCTTAAACCTGTATATTCAGTTGCGTGAAGTCTGTCTATATGTTAACCATTTAGACTGCATTTTCCATACCGCATATCTGCTGTAAGCTACTTTTATTTTTACTTCCTTTTGGAGGAAAATTACGAGAAAAAAAAATATGCCACTCTTCCAGAGACAGAGCATAGAGAAAAAAAAATGTAGCATTTTCTGTGTTGAAAATCTATTCTACCTTTTTTTTTTTTTTTTTTATGAAAAACTGTCAAACCTCAATGTTTCTGTGCCATGAACCTCAGACTTCATTTGGACCATTGTCCTTTGCTTTCAGAAGATGTCCATGAATACTACTAGCAAGTCATGTCCCTCTAGCAGCAGATTTTGCCAGATATAATATCCTTAAAAACTGTTTTCTGTTGTTCAGAAGAGTTACTCCATTCATTGAAGGGCCATTTAAAAGCTCCTTCCTGGTGGTGGTGCACCAAGGTCAGGAGCTGTGCAGCTTTGATATTTCTGGGGATTTGGGTTCAAGTTTATGGATTCTCATTGTTACGGGTTTTTAAATTTTCAGAAGACACAAGCACTTGCAAAATCCAGTGGTCAGAACATTATAGATTTAAATCTGCCAGCTGAACATCATCTGCTTCCCGTGTATATAAACAGCTGTAATGACAGGGGCTTGGACTGTTTTTATGTTATATCTGTATATAGACCTGACAGAAATACACAGTTGTGACTTTTAGCAGTTTTCACTTACCATATTCCTCACTGTGAATGTATTAATAAGTAGCAAATGCAGTACCTTTTGCTACTGATTTTTCTGTGACTTAAAACGGGTAGTGCCACAAGATTACATTATCCACTGCCCATGATGTTTTTTTTAAAACAAGACCTGTTATTTCTGCCTACTGTAAAGTTTATTCCACTGAAGTAAACACAATTTGTAGGGCAAAGTTAGAAATTAACAGAACTGTTCCATGTGTTTAAAGGTCAGATTACATGTTTGTATAAATTATGCTATGGAAGAGACTTCAAATTAAAACCAATAGTGCTACTTTTTTATTTCATGTGAAGTGATTATCCTTTCT